ACTAGGATGCTATGTCTATACAAATTAACCAAGAAAGGAGCTGAAATAAATAAAATTTGGGGAGGAACACCAGTTAGGGATGCGTAACCACGTAAATGACAAATTCAAGCTAGCTAGAGAAACAGTCTTGACTCTGTCCATCCTCTTTGAAATGAATTATGAAGCACTCGTGTACTATTCTGGTTGCAAAAATTAGGGGATGTATTAAGCAGCTGGTGGGCTGTTAAACACAGTCCATGTGCTCCAGAAGGCTCAAGGGATTGCAAGTTGGACAAGCCTGCCAGTTCACTTTCTCACTTTGAAAGAAAAATGCCCTAGTCTCTACAAACATATGACACTCATTAATGTTCGTAAAACATCCAACACTTTTCTTTGTCTCTAGGAATGCCTATGCGTTGAGCAGTGAATCCAGCTTCCCCCAGAAAAGGTCAAGCCTCACGCTGAAGACGGAGCTTTCTGACTGATCCTTGAATTTCATGGCATTAGCACAGCGAGGCAAAGCAGTGAATGGCTCTGGACCAAGAAATTACAACATTGCTATTCCTTCTCCTGGAGCCAAATGATAGGTTGCCTTTGCCATTTGTTAACAGCTCTTTGGGTGGAAAGTCAGCAGCGCTGGTGTGGAGCACTAATTTCTCAGAATCAAAGTTCATGCCCTCTTGTATTTCACTAGCTAGGATGATTGAAAGGAGATCAGAGGGAGAAATATTTGCATCTTAACACATGAGTAAACATGTATATGTTCCAAGAGATTAGGATTTTACTTTATGTTAGCAAACTAGTTTCATGAAGAGCATGATCAAACTTGCCTTATTGACTGCTGATGACTAGATAATACATTTAATGGAGAGGGCAATACCAATGCTCATTTACATGGAAATCACGAATGTTATATGCAGCATAGCATAAATCCAAGTTGTTAACTGCTGTAGTAGGACAGTGAAATTTGGCTTTGATCCCAGTTCTGAATTAAAATATCCCTAAATTTATTTATTTGTTGTTTACGGCAGTGTTTCTCAACCTGGGGGCCACAAGGAGTGTGTCGGGGGGGGGGGGGGTGCCAAAGACCATCAAAAAACATAGTATTTTCTGGGTTGTTGTAGGTTTTTTCAGGCTATATGGCCATGTTCTAGAGGCATTTTCTCCTGACATATTTTCTGTTGTTCATGGGGTATCTGTGTGGGAAGTTTGGCCAAATTCTATCGTTGGTGAGGTCCAAAATACTCTTTGATTGTAAGTGAACTATAAATCCCAGCATCTACAACTCCCAAATGTCAAGATCTCTTTCCCCCAAACTCCACCAATGTTCACTTGTGGGCATATTGAGTACTTGTGCCAAGTTTGGTCCAGATCCATCATTGTTTGAGTCCACAGTGCTCTCTGGATGTAGGGAAACGACAACTTCAAAACTCAAGGTCAATGCCCATCATTTGCTGTTCGTCATGGGAGTTCTGTGTGCCACGTTTGGTTCAATTCCATCGTTATTTATTTATTTAAAACATTTATATTCTGCCCTTCTCACCCGGAAAGAGACTCAGGGCAGGGCACAGCATATATATGACAAACATTCAATGCCGGGACACAAATTCTTATATACATCCATAAACATTAAAAAAAATATCAAAATATTGAAATACACCATTTAAAACCATCCTAGTCATCCACGTCAAGTCTAATTGGCCTGGTAATCTTTCCTATTGCTGCTTTATTGCCCTGTCCTGAAAGCTTGGTCTTTACCATCCTTCTAAAGGACAGGAGAGAGGGGGCCGACCTGAACTCACCAGAAAGGGAGTTCCATAGCTGGGGAGCAATCACCGAGAAGGCCCTGTCTCTCATCCCCACCAATCATGCCTGTGACAATGGCAGGACAGAAAGCAGGGCATCCCCGGAGGATCTTAATCTCTGCAATGGTTCATAGGTAGAGATGTGTTTGGACAGGTAATTTGGGTCGGGGCCATTTAGGGCTTTACAGGCCAAAGCCAGCACTTTGAATTGTGCCTGGTAGCAAACTGGCAACCAGTGGAGCTGGCGTAACATGGGAGTTGTATGCTCCCTGTATGCCGCCCCAGTTATTAATCGTTGGTGCTCTATGACTATTAATCTCAGCAACTACAACTCCTAAATTACAAAATCAACCCCCTTCCCCCTATCCCACCAGTATTCAAATTTGGGCGAATTGGGTATTTGTGCAAAATTTGGTTCAGTGAATGAAAATACATCCTGCATATCAGATATTTACATTACGATTCATAACAGTAGCCAAACAACAGATTTACTGTTATGTCCAAGTTCTGAGAAAGCTTTCTATCACAATTATTCATAAGGCATTTGCCACAAAATGTCAAACTTGGAACATCAATCCAGCAAAAATATAGCACATTATTTTTGTTATTTTTGGGAGCGACATATATTTAGCTGTATCAAAATCCATGTCTAGAGCATTCCACATGTTGAAAAGTAACAGGTTTGTATTTCAACGCAGTCTTTAAAGGGAGAGCTGAAGAAAGGCTGCAAGCAACATCATCAGCTGTATCTATCTGCTTCAAAGATATATGGCATGTGCTGTGCGCTCAAGGACAGATGTAAGCAATTATATATCAGAGCACTGACTGCACACACCAGCTATTTGACAAAATTAGTCACTTCTTACATTCACTGGAGAGCTATATATTACACCGTTAGCAAGACTTCATGATTTTCCTTGCCTTCTGCCAACTTTTAATTCATCATCTACATGTCTTCCTTCAAGGCCTATGTTTTCACTACTCTAACCAGTAAAAAAATGGGTTGTTTTTATGCAACTGTAGTTATGCAGTCACACATATGAACTCTACATCTGTACAGAGTTTATTTCAGGAAGCTTTGCATCTTCTGATTGACACAGCAGCCTAAACGGGGCGAGAATCTGTCCTCTTTTCTCCCCATTTATTTTAGTATTTTCTCCAATTTAAACAAATTGTATGAGCTACAATTAGCTAGGTGCATCTCTTCTTATTTTGCCTCGGGGGAGTGTGCTTGCTCCATCAATGTTTAACATTTGCACAAATGATCAGCCACTGCCAGAAGGGACAGAGAGTTTCATCTACGCTGATGATCGTGCCATCACCGCTCACACAAGGAGCTGTGACATGGTGGAACAGAAACTCTCCGAAGCTTTAGGTGCTCTTACTGCCTATTACGGTGGAAATCTGCTGATTTCTAATCCATCTAAAATGCAGATGTGTGCTTTTCATCTCAAGAACAGACAAACATCTCAAGCTCTGAGGATTACCTGGGAAAGAACCCAACTAGAGCATTGCAGCACACTCAAATATCTGGGAGTCACTCTGGACCGTGCTCTGACTTACAAGAAGCACTGCCTGAATATCAGGCAAAAAGTGGGAGCCAGATATAACATCATAGAATCATAGAATCCTAGAGTTGGAAGAGACCTCATGGGCCATCCAGTCCAACCCCATTCTGCCAAGAAGCAGTAATAATGCATTCAAAGCACCCCTGACAGATGGCCATCCAGCCTCTGTTTAAAAGCTTCCAAAGAAGGAGCCTCCAACCACACTCCAGGGCAGAGAGTTCCACTGCTGAATGGCTCTCACAGTCAGGAAGTTCTTCCTCATGTTCAGATGGAATCTCCCTTCTTGTAGTTTGAAACCATTGTTCCATTGCATCCTAGTCTCCAGGGCAGCAGAAAACAGGCTTGCTCCCTCCTCCCTGTGACTTCCTCTCACATATTTATACATGGCTATCATATCTTCTCTCAGCCTTCTCTTCTTCAGGCTAAACATGCCCAGCTCTTTAAGCCGCTCCTCATACGAAAGCTGACTGGAAAAACCTTGGGATCACAAGTGAAGTCATCTGCCCTTGTGCTTGGCTACTCTGCTGCTGAATATGCATGCCTAGTGTAGAATACATCTCACCACATTAAAACAGGGGATATGGCTCTTAATGAGACATGCTGCATTATCACAGGATGTCTATGCTCAACACTGCTGGAGAAAATATTCTGTCTAGCTGGCATTGCACCACCTGCTATGCACCACCAGCAATGGAAGGACCACATTGACATCTCTGGCCCATGCTCTGTTCGGATATCAGCCAGCATGCCAACAACTTCAACCAAGAAACAGCTTCCTAAGATCTACAGAGATACTCGCAGGAACACCTCAGCAAGCAAGAGTCCAAAGGTGGCAGGCTCAAACCCAGAACCTCAATCAGTGGCTGATACCTGATGAGAGATCCCCCTGCCCCCGGGCGTCCACAGAAAACTGGACGACTTGGAAGGGGCTGAACAGATTGCACTCTGGGACCACAAGATGCAGAGCTAACCTTAAGAAATGGGGCTACAAAGTGGAGTCAGCGAATGTGGAGAAGAGCAAGCCACAGACCACCTACTACAATGCGGTCTGAGCCCTGCCACATGCACAATGGAGGACTTTCTTGCAGTGAAGACAGAGGCACTCCAAGTGGCCAGCTTGTGGTCAAAGGAGATCTAGCATAATGCCAAGATTTTAACTTTGTTTGTGGTTTTTCTATACATTATAACTGTATTCTCAATTTGCTTGAAACGATAAATAAATAAGAGGTGATAACACACAGAAAATGAGCAAGCTACAAGACTGTTTTTGTAATAGAGTTCACATTTCACTGATGGGGAAACAGTTATATATCACCATTTAGAATATAAAGTTCTAAGTGAAATGCTCGCCAATGCAAAATGGTTTACAGTAGCAGCAGAGAGAGACAGTAACATCATACTTTATTTTAACCACTGAGAATTCAGACTTTGAAAGAACACTACTTATATTTTCCATACAAGGCAAAAATGGTAATTGCACTTAACAACCTTGGTACAGGCATCCCGATGTCTAGTGCAAGGTACAATTTGGAGCTTGTAATAATAATTGTTCATTTCCCTTGAAATACATATAAAGTTACCCGGTTAGTTGTTTTTAAGACTCCCATCACATATTATACAGGACCATAGTTCACGTAATGGCACATACCTCTGGCTGTATAGCTTTAAATACTGGCGTATCCATCAGTGTAATCTGACTCTATAATAAAAGTAAGGAAAAGAACAATTATCCATTCACAAATATTGGTCAGCTGAGTGAAAATTCCTTCATGCTACATTATTGCATTCTTCCTTCTTCATGATTTAGAGGCATATGTAGCTAGTTCTGGGACTCTTCTCCTGTCACATCAACTATAATGGAGCTGGAGAGAAAGTGCTTATAGAGAAAACAGCAGGCCGCAACTTTAAATAGTTGATCCACTATCATGCAGGAAACTGGAAGTCACAGGGATCAAGAAGTAATTTGCAGAAATGAATGCTGCCAGAAAAAAACTTGAAAGATGTCCACTATATCCTACTAAATTATTTAAAAAATAGTAAAAGAATATGTGTTGTTGAAGACTTTCATGGCTGGAATCACTGGGTTGCTGTGAGTTTTCCGGGCTGAATGGTCATGTTCCAGAAGCATTCTCTCCTGACGTTTCACCCACATTTATGGCAGGCATTCGCAGAGGTTGTGAGGTCTGTTGGAAACTAGGCAAGTGGGATTTATATCTCTGTGGAATAATATTCAAGGTGGGAGAAAGACCTCTTGTCTGTTGGAGGCAAGTGTGAATGTTGCCATTGGCCATCTTGATTTGAATTGAATGGCCTTTCGGCTTCAAAGCCTGGCTGTTTTCTGCCTGGGGGCATCCTTTGTTGGGAGGTGTTAGCTGGCTCACTTGCCTAGTTTCCAACAACTTCACAACTTCTGAGGATGCCTGCCATAGATGTGGACAAAATGTCACAAGCAACCCAGTGATTCCAGCCATGAAAGCCTTCAACAACACAGAGCTCTAGATTGTTATGAACAGGAAAAGGCACAGGAAAAGCTCATACGTTACACAGAGAGCACAAATAAGAACTTGTTTCTTATAACTATGATAATATTTTTCCATGTTTATAAAACGAGTAGCACTACTCACAGCAAACTCCTCTGGAGTCACTTTCAATACATCAAATACAACTGCATCATAGCTTTTATGAGCATAATCTGAACTCCGTCCTTCCAGAGAGTCAGAGCTGCTGCTACCCTGTGGAAAGAGGGGGAATAGTGAGGTTGCTTGGAAGCAGTATTTTTAACCAAATTAGCTAAAGTTTATATCCACCAACTAAAATCGGAAGCCAACGTTTTTATCTGTTTACATTTTTACTAATTGTTTTTCCTTTTCTCTCCCCCCCCCCCCCCCCCGCCATCTCAATGGAGTTGTAAAGTGGTTTCTTTTTAATGGACCACACTGCAGATAACAACAAGATAACAACAATTTAAGGTATTGGAAATTATATCAATCTATGTAAATAAAAATGTAAATGTCCATTTGTAAATAACCTCAAATCTCATAAAATATTTCACCAATTGCTTCAAAATTTGGACACAACGTAGCATTCAAACTGGCAAATGTTTTTATGTATTCACACACCTACTATTATATATATGTTACACCTGTGATAGGTAAAAACATGCTTAGCATCAAAGCCAGCACCATCTGCTGGACGTCCATGCAACACATCGGAAAACGACCCTGTCAGAGCCGGAGCCACCATTAGAGACCCACGGCCTGGTCGCTCCCCACCGAGCATGTCTGCCTGCCTGCCTGCCTCCCTTCTTCTGGAGCAGAACAGGGAGAAGAGTGGAAAAAAGGCGGCGGGACAGGTAGGAAAATCCTGGCCGGGGAGAGGGGCGGGGCACAGGCCCAGGGGAGGGAGGGAAGGAGGCAGGCAAGGAGGTAGGCCCAGCACAAGCCCCAACCTTCCATAGTCTCATGCCCTGCTTGGCCTTGCCCGGTACTGCCTCACGTCCACATCTCCAGGAAGACTGGAGGCTTAGGAGGAAGGAAGGAATGAATGGTAGGAAAGGAGGGAAGGCAGGGAGGAATATATATGAGGGAAAGAAAGGAAAGGGTTTCCCCAAAACACACTGATCATTATTATATAGACTAGTATAATTGTTATTATTATCATCACTATTATATACACCAGTATTATTATTATATAGGTTATATAGGCCCTTATTATTATTATTATTATTAGTAGTAGTAGTAGTAGTAGTATTTATACCATTATTATTATTATCATTATTTTATAGACAATGGAACAACAAAAAAAATTGTATACCCACAAGCATTATGAAATCACACATATTAGAAACATGCTCTTTCTCTTTTCTTTCTTTTCCATTTAACTAGACTGGGCTACAACAACACATGGCTGGGTACAGCTAGTGGGACATATGTGTGTAACTATGTTCATAAGGGTTAGTGTACACATAATTACAGTTTTGTGACATAATAAACGTTATGCATTGTACTAGTTGTTAAATAGATTGGAGTGAACAGTTTACAACAGGCCTGCACAACCTGTGGCCCTCCAGGTGTTTGAGCCTCCAATGCCCAGCTTGTCCAATGGTCAAGAATTCTGGGAGCTGAAGTCCAAAACACAGGCCTGGTTTACAGAAATGTTAAAGGCACTCCATCTGCTATCACGAAGTTATAACAAAACAGAAGCAAAGAAGGGGTACCTCTGGAGTGGCGGAGGTCACTGTCACGTTGGCCATGAGGCCATTCCTTTTATACATAATCTCCTTAGGATGCAGGAAACTTCAGCTCAGCCACCAGCGGTGACACAATAACGGAGAACTGCTGCAAGGTAAACACAATTTATGAGAATCTGATATAAGGGTGGTCACAAGTGTGAACACCATTTAAGAAAGGCGAAGAAAATAATTTGCAATGTGTAACAGGCACCGTTTTGCCAGAATTCCATGTTCTCATACTTTATGGCCAATACATTTTGGAAATATAGCTATATTGACCTATAAAACCGAACACAGCTTGAGCCCTAAATAATTTAGAGGCCACCTGCTTTTCCTTTTCCATTACACTCCCCAAGCTTTACTGAGCAAGTTCTTTTCACTCAGTTCTCAGTGTGCACCAATGACAAATATGGGTTTATAACGGGCATGGGCAAACTTTCTTACTTGGGGGTCGCATGGTGGGCCAGAGTGGGGTTGTCACAAGAAAAATAATGTGCAGATTTGATAAATGTGGACTTGATATGTGTGGGTATGAATGAACTGAATGAAAGCTGAACGAATGAGAATTAATTTTGGAGACAACATTTTGAATATTGTGGCCTGCAATGACTAAATCACTAACTGCCTGCTTCATGGACTGTAATTAAGAGCTGCTAATGAGAACTGAAAAGTAAACTGTGATAAGAACTGTGACAGTGATAATATAAATGTTTACATCTGTCAACATTTGCTGACCAGAAACTGGATTAACTCTAAAGGCTGTTTACATTAGTCAAAGACAATGCTTTTTCAAGTCAAACTCAGAACACAACGGTTTGTTACCTGAAGACAAACATCTATACCAGGAGGTGAAGACTCCAGATAATTTCAAACAGGACAATTATTTACTATATCAGAAGAAATATTCCCATAAAAGACTCAATCTAATAATTCTCAAGTGTGGCAGACCACAGGAATCTGTTCCACCAGCTATGCTCTGCTCCATTGGGAAGGAGAGAGATAGTGTATGTATGGAGAGTGTGCAATGGGCAGGGAGTCAGGTTCTGCTGTATGGAAAACAGGGATCTGATCCTTGGCATTTTGGAAGCATTTTGGTATTATGGAAGTTTTGGAACTGTGCATTGGCAGGCTGCAGGGAAACAGGGTCTGGCCTTACAGGTGTTCTTCTCTAAGGAGGGAGAAAAGGATATGGTAATATTCGTATACATGTAAATGAGTGCATAAACATGTGTGTGAATGCTGAGTAAAAATGTAACCCTCCTTTGTTTGTTAACCAATGTAACAGTAAGTTGTTGTGAATTCAATGCAGTTACATAGAATCTGAATCTCTGTATGTCTAATGTCATTCTTTGTGTAAAAGTTTTGTAAAAGTTTTGATATACCCTCTCATACTGAAAATTGCAATAAAAAGAACATTTGTTTAAAAAGTATTCATGACAGGGTGGCCGGGCCGGGAGGGAGAGGGTTCTCCCCAAGTCCCCTCCCTGCCCTTTCATCCCTTTCCTCTTCTCTTTCAGAGGCAGAAACGTTTGGATCCCAAAAGGGTTAATTTTGGTCAGGATGCGATAGTAGATGGGAGAGAAAAAGTGTATCCATGAGACCCTGTATTGCCTACTCCTGAGATAGAATCCTAGAGCTAGAAGAGACCCCCAAGAACCACCCAGTCCAGCCATGCGAGAAGGCACAATCAAAGCCTTGACAAAAAAGCCTCCAGAGAAGGAGACTCCACCACACTTAAATGCTGTCTACGCCATTCTCCAACAGCTCTTACTCTCAGGAAGTTCTTCCTAAGCATTTCAGTTTAATTTCTTTCCTTGCCATTTGAACCCATTGCTCCCTTGTGCCCTGGACTCTAGAGTAGCAGAAAGTCAGTTTTCCCCTTTCTCTTTCTCCTTCTCCTCCTCCTCCATGGGACACCCTCTGAAATCTTGAATCATGGTTCTCATGTTCCCTCTCAACCATCTCTTCTTCCAGCTAAACATCCCCCAAGAGGAAAAGAGAATGGAAAAAAAAGAGGAGGATGGAAGGACGGATGGAAGGAAGGGAGTAATGAAAGACAAAAGAATGAAGGGAGGAAGGAGAAAGAGAGAGGGGGAAGGATGGAGGAAAGAGGGAAGGAAGGAGGGATGAAAGGGTGGAAGAGAAAGAGGGAGAGAAGGCGAAAAAGGGAGGGATGGAAGGAAAGAGATAAGAAAGGCAAGGATGGTGAGAGAGATGAGGGCCTGAGAAAAGAGCCCAAGGGGGCGTATCCAGCCTCCAGGTCTGGCTTTGCCCATACCTGCTTTATAATCATATAAAATCACTCTGGAGACATACATATGAACCCACAGCTACAAAAAAAGCCCTGTATACTTCACTGCAACCTCATTATGTACAAATGGCTCTGTCAAGTATATTCAGCATTCAGAATTATGGCATTTGATCAGTCTCTACTTATCCTAATTCTTCAGAAAGGAGGTATTAAATTCACTGAATTTGTTTTTGAGATTTTCTACTTTATTTCAGTCCAAGAGTTAGTGGATATCATATAATATTTCAGCCAAAATTAGCACCAGATGAGGATAAGGACAAAAAACCATGGAATTATCACACAATGTTTGCAAATATTTTCTTGAACACTGTAAACAGAGCCCAACCTTTGACATGGTTAGGAAAGCCTCTCTTACTGACACAGCACCCCCTGCTTTCCGGCTCTGCAGATAAGAAGTTCATCATCAATGTCCATGTTGCAACAACAGTCTCCATCCTGTGAAATACCAGAAATGTCTTGCACATTTGCTACAGCTGCTGTAACTGGGATGCCAAAAGCATCTGTTCATAAATCCATTTAGTCTAGCCACTGACATAAATTAATGAATTTATGATGAGCAACTCATATTACTTCAAATAGGTAGACAAGAGAGGGACAAAATATCTTCCATTCATAAACTTAAAGTGTATTTCTCATTGGACTGGCTGTTGTTAATGTCCATATCTTTGTTTACTTGAGAGGATGAGTCAGAGAAGGACAAAAAGTCTGTGCAGGAAAACTTTCAACATATTTGTCATCAAGATAGAAGTAATATCTTTGTGGAGTTTATCACTAAACACAGCAAATAAGGAGTGGACAATGATGAACACAGAAGTTATTTTTTTCATCAGGCAACCCTATATCTATCTAATAGGGGTGTGCAATTGACTCGGAAGTAATTGCTACTTGTATGTTATTCGTATGTTTCACACTTATGACGTGTATTCTGACGCTCCTGGGAGATGTGCTGAAAACATTAAGAAATAGAACATTTTGAAGGCTTTGATTCTTAAGTTTTGATTTCTTTGGAAGTGCCTGTGATGCAGTTAAAATTCACAGGGCACTCAAGCCCTGCTGAGAGGTCAAGCCAAACCTGTTGGTATGCCTCTCAGCCAATCAGGGCTGATGGAAGAGACAGGCAGAGGTGAAGGCGAAGTGGCTGCCATGTTGCTTTTAAATTTGGGAAGGGGAGAAGCCCTATGACAAAGAATTCAAAAGGCTCGTCCCTAAACTACATTTCCCACTATGCATCAAAATGAGAAAGGACCAATCTGGGGAGGAAAAAGAGGCTTGTCCTTCCCTAAACTGTTTTTGTTAAAACATTTTTTTAAAAAATTCTTAAAATCAGTAGATGTATGAGTATTTCTGAAAGTTGGGGGGAATGATCCCATTACGTGAAATGTTATGAAACTTGATGGGCAAAGAGTGGTAAATGTGTTCTACCATTGCAGCATGTTTCACCTCAATAGCTTTAAAAATGAAGGGAGATAGGAGCCCCTGAAGTTACTGTGTATGCAGTTACCATTAATGAAATAATAATGACTTTTTTAGTTTCGTTAGAATTCCGAAATTTTCACCACTGAAATTTTAGAAACACTTTAGAAATGAAGTGCCAGCACCCCCTAGTTTTGTAAGTACTTTACAACCATTTTTATGGACTGCACATGCCTAGTATCTATGTATGAAAAGGCAGCACAGAGGGCTAAAAATAAGGTGGAAAATTATCAGGGCATAAAGAATCAAGCAAATTCTCTCTGCACCCCTATTCCATTCAGACGCTACCCAATTTTTTAAAAGGAAAAATACATTTCTGATTTTTGTTTCTTATTTATTTAACACATCCCAATAAATGAAAGAAATCCTAGTTGTATAATTGGGAGACTTGGAAATGCATATTGTCAGCATATTTCAAAACATCCGGTGATCCTCAGATCCTTTTAATTAGGCAACCATCATGGGACAAGGAACTCAAGCAGACAGGGATGATATGAAGCAACACCATGATTCAATAATTTCTCAGAACAGTAACATCAAAATACTAAAGTGACCAGTAAATATTTACCAATCAATCGAAAGCAACTGGACTTTGCACTGAAATGCGAGGGCTCTGGCAAACAAATGTTTTTCCAGACTTTTGTCAGAATTTACAAACTTAAGAGTTTTCAAACTACCTACTCTAATCTAAAATCATATCTTATTCAGTAGTGCCACCTAGTGATCAGCTAAAAGAAATGCTGGAGCAGAATTATTATTAGACATTGACCTATAGAAAAGGCAGAACCTTGGGATGTGATGCCACATTTGTATGGTTTTTCTTCTCCTACGCACAGCAACTAGAATCCAAATGATTCTGGAAAATCTTGATCTGAGCAACATTTGCAGTATAACGACCATTGCATTCTTATCTGACAATCACACTTAAAGCCTCAAAATCAAGCAATATATTTTCAACTCCTCATTATCATATTGACTCTCGTCTACAAACCTCTTTGCTTTGCTTCCAGTGATAGAACAGAAGTAGCACAACTTACCCATAATATGTTTTTCTTTCCAGTTTTAAGTGCAGTCAAACACAAAGGAGGCATTGCAGCACATCTTTCAGTATGGATACTTCTGAAAAAAAGTAACATTGGATTTTATTTTTTTTTCAATTCTAGGGTCATTGACGGTAAATCAAGAATAAACTATTCAAATATAAATCTTTCTTCAAGATAGCCAAATGGCAGGCAGGAAAATAAAACCACAATTTCTCTCTCTCTCTCTATATATATATATACATATAGCTAGCATTTTAGTAAGAAAAAAGAGTAACAGTATTGTTTCATATGGACTTTGGCTCACAATATTTACAAACATTACTAAAGGCTTTTAAACAGAGGCTGAATGGCCATCTGTCGGGGGTGGGGGGGGGGCTTTGATTGTGATTTTCCTTTATGCCAGGGAGTTGGACTAGATGTCCAATGCAGTCTCTTTCAACTCACAAATGTTGCTGAATTTTATGTGTTCTTATGGTACTATTATCTGTAAGCCACCCCGAGTCCCTTTTGGGAGATTGTGGCAGGATATAAATAAAGTTGTTGTTGTTGTTATCCTAAGTCAAAGACTAAATCAGACTTCAACACTTGCCCATAGTATCCCAAAAGCACTAAGGTGAAATAACGTGGAGAACTTAAATTTGTATACCTATAGGTAAAGGTTTTCTCCTGACATTAAGTGTTCGACTCTGGGGTTGGTGCTCATCACCATTTCGAAGCTGAAAACGCCTCCAAGGTCATGTGGCCAGCATGACTGCATGGAGCACCGTTACCTTCCCGCTGAAGCTGTATCTATTGATCTACTCACATTTGCATGTTTTCAAACTGCTAGGTTGGCGGAAGCTGGGGCTGACAGCAGATTAGAACCTGCAACCTTTTGGTAAGCAACTTTAGCAGCTCAGCGGTTTAACCCACTGCACTGCCGGGGGTATCTATATGCCTACAATGAGACCCTAAAGCTGTAAGTGTGGAATGTGTACCACAGTTCAACTTTTATGACCTTAGACATGTTCACTTGAATTAACCTGGAAAGTGGTACTCAATTCCTAACAAAATGTGGCAAAACTCAAGCATACATAGGAATTTATGCATTATATTTATTGATTCATATTTATATTCATTTCTTTGTCCCATTTTTCAAAAATATAAAGGAGCAGAAGCACAGGAGTATGAAATAGCAATAATTAGCAATGAATATAGAAACAGCTAATAAGAAAAGTAGGACCAAATCTTTTGGGGGTGTAGGAACCTATCTCTAGTCTTCCCATGTTATTTCTATTCCTGCTACCAATGTTTCTGTTACAGAAATAAAGCACAAGAAGTAAAGACAAAGATCCACACATAGGAAAAGTGTTCTTGGAGGAAACCACTGACTGCATAGGGATGCTGATGAGGAAACAAAACACACAAACAATCTACAGACCCACTAAGAAAATCCAACAAATGCTACATTCAGCAAAGGACAAGAGGGATCCTCTCACCTTTGCAGGAGTCTACCGTATCCAATGCAGCTGTGCACAAGTCTACAGAGGGACCACCAAAGGCAATAGTATTGCCCAAACACGAATCAAGTGACATGAAAGGCACTGCAGACTAACTCAACCAGAGAAGTCGGCCATAGCAAAGCACCTGATGAACCAACCTGGACACAGCATATTACTGGAGAGCACAGAAATGCTGGACCACTTTGATAACCACTATTTCAGACGACACAGAGAAGCTATTGAAATCCACAAGCATGTGGACAATTTCAACAGAAAGGAGGAAACTATGAAAATGAATAAAATCTGGCTACCAGTATTTAAAAAAACCTCCAAAATCACGACAGTAAATAAAGAGCAACACTTAAAAAAAAAGACAGAGGAATTCCAGACAGGAAATAATCAGGGTGAGCTAGCACTTGCATTTTCGGTTGTATTTCATTGTATTTTGTTGTTTGGGCTTGGCCTCATGTAAGCCGCTCCGAGTCCCCATCGGGGAGATGGTGGCAGGTTATAAATAAAGATTATTGTTATTATTATTGTTATTGTTATTATTATTGTTGTTGTTGTTGTTGTTATTATTTCCCAACAAAGGATTTCCCAGGCAGGAAACAACCAGGCTTTAAAGCTGCAAAGCCCTTCAATGCTAATTTATTTATTTCGTATCAAAAGCATTGCATAAATCAGTATAAAACTGATAAAAATAGAAGGAGCGCAGGTGGCTAAATATCTTTTGACCAAAAACGGGCAACAACAATGGCATTGTCTGTAGCTTCAAACAATTCTTCCTCTGTACATGAGGCAGGGCATAGTGGAGAAGCATACAGATGTGAAGTTATTCAATGCTAATCAAGGTGGCCAATTGCAACCTTAACACTTGCATCAAATAGGCAAGAGTTCTTTCTCCCACCCTGGACATCATTCCACAGATATATAAACCTCACTTGCCTTAGTTTCCCCACAACCTCTGAGGATGCCTGCCATAGATGTGGGTGAAATGTCAGGAGAGAATGCTTCTGGAACATGACCATGCAGCCCAGAAAACTCACAGAACCCCACAAGAACATATCTACTTCATTAACTGGGGTATATTGGTACATAATATTACAAAAGCTAGGAATGTTATTAAATAGTGCCACAGAGTTCTAAATGAGTGAGATGAATGATTATTTTCAATGGTGAAATATAAATAAATGTGCATGAGTAATACTGAAAAGACTGAAGCACCTTTCCTTAGCCTTTTACATGTAATCCTAGAAAATGCATTTGGCAGAGCTCTACACCACACCTCTGTGACATCTAGGAGGTATCTATAAACAGTATCTACAAGCTGTTGCTCATGCCCTGTTGCTATGGCAGCCCCGAGTAAAAACTAAAAATAAACAGAGGAAGGGATTTGTGCCTGCTACTTGGAAGGAAAGAGACTGTCGACAGAAAAGTTTGGGTTACACCTGGAGGAAATTAATAGAAAGCTTTGCTAAATATCTCCCATATCCTCTAACTCTGGGACAAATGACAAGGTAGGCCACTTCAAAGACAAATAAAAAAGAAATACTGATAGCATAAGTTGCTAAATGAGAGGCAAAATGGAAAGAACTATGTAATACATACCTATTAATCAATCAAAATATAAGCAGTATAAAAATGATGTAGCCTATTATTACTTTGATGCAAAAACATCATGTTGAAATGAAAAATGAATGGAAAACAGTTGGTGTAAATTATGTGAAAGGATGCCTGTCTCCACCTTTAAGGATGAAAATTAGTTTTGATTCTCTTTTGTGGTTCGAGGAGAGGCGGGTAAGAAATAAAACTATTACTATTTATCGTGTCAGAAGCAAATTAAGAGTACAGTTATAATCTTTTTAAAGACACAAAGTTAAAAACTTGGCATGATACTAAATATCCTTTGATCAGAAGCTGGCCACTTGGAGTGCCTCTGGTGTCGCTGTGAGATGGTCCTCCATTGTGCATGTGGCAGGGCTCAGACCGCATTGTAGTCAGTGGTCTGCTCTCCTCCGCACTCGCATGTCATGGACTCCACTTTGTAGCACCCATTTCTTGAGGTTGCTCTGCATTTCGTGGTGCCAGAGCGCAGCCTGTTCAGCGCCTTCCAAGTCACCCAGTCTCCGGTGTGCCCAAGAGGTAGTTTATCATCCGGTCTCAGCCACTGGTTGAGGTTCCAGGTTTTAGCCTGCCACTTTTGGACTCTCACTTGCGGAGGTGTTCCTGTGAGTATCTCTTTATATCTTAAGAAGCTATTTCTTGATTTAAGGGATTGGCTTGCTGGCTGACATCCAAATCAGAGGATGGGCCAGAGATGTCAATGCCTTGGTCCTTTCATTACAGGCTGCGACTTCCTGACATATGTCAGGTGGTGCAATGCTGGCTAAATAGTATTATTTCTCCAGCGGCGTAGACATCCTGTGATAATGTGGCACATCTCATTAAGAGTCACATCTACGGTTTTAATGTGATGAGATGGATTCCACACTGGGCATGCCCACTCAGCAGCAGAGTAGCAAAGTGCAAGGGAAAATGTCTTAACTGTATCTGGTTTGATCCCCATGTTGTGCCAGTCAGATTGTGTATGATGTTATTTCTGCCACCCATCTTTTGCTTGATAGTCAAACAGTGTGTCTTGTAAATCAGAGCACGGTCCAGGGTAACTCCCAGGTATTTTGGTGTGCTGCAATGCTCCAATGGGATTCCTTCCCAGGTATTCCTCAGAGCTTGAGATAATTGTCTGTTCTTAAGATGAAAAGCACACATCTGCATTTTAGGAATCAGCTGGTTTTCCATGTAACAGGCAGTAAGAGCACCTTAAGCTTCAAAGAGGTTCTGTTCAACCATTTCAAAGCTCCTTGCTTAAGCGGTGATGGCACAACCATCAGCATAGATGAAACACTCTGTCCCTTCTGGCAGTGGCTGATCATTTGTGTAAATGTTATAAATTGATGCAGCAAGCACACTCCCTTGAGGCAGGCCGTTCTTCTTCTTCTTCTATTATTATTATTATTATTATTATTATTATTATTATTATTATGGAATAATCGATCTTTGAAAGATTCAGCAGAATATTTATTATGGATCTTTGAAAGATTCAGCAGAAATGAGTCTAGTACTTTTAAATGTGTTCATAAAACATCTGAGCAGGGAAATGGCAAATTTTCTTTAAGATACCAAATGATTTAGAATAAAAAGAATCATCCAACAACAGGATGAATTAATATTTAATGTTTTCACGTGATGAGGGCATCTAGAACCCTTCACCTTTAATTCATCCTGTTGTTAGCTAATCTTTGGTAAGCAAAGATGGCAAGATACTAAGATTTTTTTCTAGCCACATTGAGAGAGCAGAAAAGGACATCACCACATTTAAACATGAAACAGTGAACTGCAATGGCTCTTTTATGTTATGCACAATTTGTAATATCATTACTATGTAAAATATCATTTTATTCTCTAATATGCACTTTCTCCCCAGTAGCAACATGGAACCATCACAAGATCTCTCCTTAATGCCAGAAGTCCGACTTCAGCAGAAGTACTGGATAACAGAAGAGAGTAAAGCCAAATTGTTGACTGCTGGTGCCAA